TTTATTCATAATTATTCATAATATGTAGTAATATGTATAAGAAGCAAAAGAAGTAATAGAAGCAGACCTAAGCAAAAGCAAGAAGAAAAGCAAAAAACAAACTTACAAAAATCACATGCATACATATATGCATACACACATGTACATATATGCATATTTAGTAGCATTTAAAGAAGAATTATATAAGCTTATCTAGTTTATGAAATGCATACCATAAAAAAAAAAACAAAAACCAAAACCAAACAAACACAAAACCAAAGAAGAATTAGGATTATACTTATATATACATACATACACATAAATACATACATATATAATTGCTAAAACGTAAATACATACATAATGTAAGTAGTTTAGCAACAAAAGCCTGCGAGCAATAGCAAATTAAATATACATACATATATGTACATACATTATAAACTTACATATACTTATATTTAATGTAATTTAAAGCCAGTTGTAAAGTAATAGAAGCTAATTTAAACCCAAAACATAATCCTTACCTACATATTACGATGCTGTAGATATGTATGTATGCGTACAACAAGCAAAAAAACGACGGAGACTAAAAATAAATAGAAAAATATTTAACTGCAAATGTGGTTGTTTTCACGAGCTTTTATTAAATTTCACGCATGCGTAGTAAAATATTGCAACCGATTTTAATCAACTTCTAGAGACTTGCAACTTCAAACTTGGTGCAGAACCTGATGACTATGCAACATGAAAGACGCGGTTGTCGAGATGTTTGAAAAAGCCGTATTTAAGGGCCGATATGGTTCATATATTCAGTGTACAATATATTTACATGAAAACGAAAAAAACTACACGCAAAATTTTTGTGATTTTCGGAAATTCAGCCTCAAGCTCAAAAAAGTTGTTTAAAATTATTTTTTATTGGCCCACACAATAGCACGATGAAATTTAAAATTTTTTTTTCAATTTTAAAATTTTCATTCTTGCCTCTTAAGGAATATTAACTTATAATTATATTATTATATTTTTATTTTTATTGAATACTTCCAAAATATTGAGTTTATTTATTTATTTTTATTGTTTTGTTTGTGAAAAATAATTTAATTTTAAAAAATTAAATTAAATTTGGCAGAAAAAAATAAATTCCTAATACCGAGAACAGCATCATTAGTTTTAATTACATTTTTTTTTGTGATATCGCTTAAAAAAATGTAAATTTTTTGATCTCATAAAAAACCAAAGAGTTATTACTAAAAAGATTGTGGAAGCTTTCAGAAGCATTTTGCGTTGCTAAACTTTTCAGATTTGCCTCGTAACAAACAATTATTATTAGGTATATAGACATGAGTCCACAAAAAAAAATTTATAAAGGCAATTTACAAAAAAAAAAAATCCGAAAATATAAGACTTTTCAACACAGAAATATTTTTTAACTCAAATAGATCATCATTTAAAGCGCATTTCTGCTACTTATAAACTTATGATTCTTAAGAAGTTAATGCGTGAATCGGTAAATTCTAAATACATATATAAACTTCCTTTTACAGGTTTTCAGTTTTACTTCAGCATGCATATGTATGACGAATTACACTTTTATAATTTACTCCCATCCAACGACTTATTTATTCAACTTGAGCATCACCAGGCGAGGCTGTAAAACGAGTTAATATCACGCAAAGGTTTAAAAGCAAAACTTTCAGTAATATCGCTGTATTCAAGCATTCCCACTAGATTCCTTGTGTAATATCTTCTCGTGGTTAGTTATTTTCTACAATAGATCAACGTATAAGGGTGTACATATAAGGTAGATATGTACGTACTAGGTGTCCGTATATGAAATCTTAAATACCACCATACCATATAAAAATATTTCCATATTTTATCCCATTTGTTCACTTAAAAGAATAAGAAATATTCAAACACCTCCTCAGTAAAAACTCAAAATAATTATTTTTCTTGTTTAATTTCATTTTCTTTTGAATTTTAGATTTTATTGATTAAAATGGAAATTACACATTTTTTAATTGAATTTAATTATTAGAAACGTATTTTATTTATTTTTTCCATTTTAAATTTAATTTGTTTTTCTGTTGTTAATTTCATTTTGCTCTTAAGTTTTAGATTTTACATTTTTAAATAGAAAAATATATGCATATATTTTATATCATTAAATTTTTAGGATTTTTTTATTTTTTTGTCTTTTCTAATTAAATTTTCTTTATTTTGTTTCTTATTAGTTTTTTCTTTTTTGATGAAATTTTTTTTTATTAATTTTTTATTTCATTATTTTCAAAAGAATTTTTTTATTTCATCTATATTTTACAAATATTTTTATTTTTTTGCTTTATTTTTTATTTAGTTTTCATTTTATAATTTTTTATTGCTTTGAAAGGAGAAATATACATATTTTATAAAACTGTTTAAGATTTAAAAACTTATTGCTAAAAGGCCAATAGCATAGCGCTAAGACTTCCTCGTTAGCAGATCTTTCATCTGGTCTTTCGAAAGACAGTAGAGAACTTTCACTATAGTTGCCAGAATTGACAATTGTCTTACTAACTGTGGTGAGTTGAAAGACAGTTGCCAGAATCGCCCTGTAAACCTAATTGAAAGCTGCTCAAAGTAATACTAGAACAAAAGACTTAAGACACGAACCTGCCTTTAGCAATAACATTTAAGAACTAAAATTACACTGAAGATGGCCCATCGTCCAAACTGGTTTGTCCTCAAACCACATTTGACATGAGATGACGGAAAACTCGTTCCAAAATACATCGTATAAAAACCCTGTCGAAAACAACAACAACCAAAAAGAAAACTTTTAAAAACTTTGCATGAAAAATCGAAAGATCATAGGAAGAAAACGTTGCTGGGTTAAATAATAAACAAACATAGGGTCCCTCGAGCATTTTATGGCCGACGAAGTCAGAAATAAGCTACAACTTTAAAGGTTACATTCATTACGATTCTAAAAATTTTTAGAGTTTTTTTTTAACTAAAATTGTTTTGAAGATTTCATTTAATTTGGGCACACTATTTTTTCCATTTCAATTTGCATTTAATTTTATAGCTGAACGAAAATTATTCATTATCACAATTTGCAGTTAAGTAAATTAATAAAGCAAATATTATAAATAATATGTATGTATATGTAAAATAATGCATGTAAAAGCTAAAAACCAATTTAAAATAAAATATAAATTATTTAAAAACAATGATTAATATTCAAAAATTTAAATATCAAAAGTTAAACATTAAATATATGAGCAACTAATTAATTTCGTAAAAATTGTATTTTAAAGTTAAACTTTAAATTAAATTAAATTTATTGCTGATCATATTTACTAAATAAATAGGCAAATGTATTAGAAACTGCAAAGGTGTGAATAAACAATGCATTAAATAGCAATGAAGTAAATATAGAAGAAAAACGTGTAGCAAAAAGTAAACAACAGAACTTATTATATACAACTGAATATATATGTATGTATATGAAGCGCTGATTTACTATTACGAAATTATATTATAATGATAATTATTATAAATTATACTCAATTTGTTTTACTTATATTTAATTAAAAAATAATATCCACAACAATGCAAGCAAATAATAACAACAACAACAGAAAAATTATTATTATTATTAATAATATTGTCCTTGGTATTTACATATATAAATTCAGCAGAAAAACACACAAAAATATGAAGACAAAAGCAAATACCGCAAACCACAAATAAGAAAAAATTCAAGAGAAACAAGATTAAAATAAGAATGCAAAAATATTATTCTTAACAATTAAAAACAAAAGAAAATTAATAAATTGTTTTTAAAAAATAATTTTTTTTTTTGCTTTTTTTACTTGAACTTAGCAATGGCACATAGCAAAAATCTTAGGAATACACACAGCGAATTCTCACAGTGTATGATGCTTAACTCAACCAAGCACATGTTTTGATATTTAAACTAATCGTGCGCTTGAACCAGTTTCTCTGCCTGATTAGCATTACAGGCTTTTCAGCTGTGTCAGAGCAAAGTAATTTGTTTATCGCATTCCGTGTGTTTCGCTGCCGCCATAGCAGCCGCTATTTAGTAGTTTACCAAAAACGCCACCGGTGATAACAACGCATTTTCGCGCGAAAGTACAAATCAGCTAAACATATTTCAGTTAGTATCTCTCTACAGAAAACAGGCGTCCCATAAAAAATGCCACAAAATCTTACGCGCGATTGCCTGAGCGTCCACGACCAGCAAGTGCTTGATTCCATTTTCAATCCACTGGCTATGACATCGAGCGTGGTGCAGGCAATAGAACCAGAGGCGAATGCTGAGCTGCTGGATATCGAAGAGAACAGCGCCGAAGTGCAGCAGTCGAGGGCGCTCGAAATAAGTGCTATCAAGTTGGCAGAGGAGGGCCAGCTTTCGAAGGCGTTGCAGACATTTGAGCAGGCGTTGAATGTGGCTCCAACACGTGCCTCTATTTATAATAATCGCGCGCAGGCTCTACGACTCGCCGGTCGAGATGAGGGTGAGTGTTTAGCGTTTAGCAGTTAAAGGGCAAACTGCACACAGTCTTCGGAGAAGCCACGTGTTACGCGAAGAAGGCTTATTTAAAAACTGTGATAAATTACCCCGGAATAGAGCTATTCTTACTCAAAAATGTTCAACAATTTCAAATCTCATAATCAAAACAGCCCAGCGATCAACTGTCAAAATTTTAAATTGACACACAATTCGTGATCAGTATGTCTAAAGACCCATTCGGTGGAATTTTTAAAAAGGTTGTCTTATTATTGGAAAAATTTGCAGTCCATTTGACAGCTGTCAACTGTCAAAGTTTTTATTTTACACATAATTCGTGATCAGCATATCTAAAAACCTAATCAGTGGTGTTTTTAAAAATATTGTTTTATTTAACAAAAAAATCTACAGTTCATTTGACAGCTGTCAACTTTCACAGCTTTAATGTGACATGAAATTCCTGACAAGCTTGCCTAAAACCTAATCAGTGGTATTTTCAAAAATATTTTCTCATTTTTAGAAAAATTGGCAGTTCATTTGACAGTAGTCAACTGTCAAACTAAAAATTGTATGGCATATTTGGATTAAGCATACCAAAATTATTACGATACTGCATTTTTATTATAATCGTTAACAGCCCTTCTAATTTTTCGGGTAAAACACAGCTTCTCCAACCACTGAGCGGCCGTTTTAACAGTTCGAGGTTTGAAGGGCACTGTATTTTATCCACTTTCCGACAGTTCTGTAGCTATGCTACAAACCAGACCGAAAACAGTTTTTATACATGTTGAGGCGACATCTAGCGTTGACTCGCGTAAACTTTCTGTGTAGAATAAGGCTATCTGCAGACTTGTCGTTCAATCATGGTTGCGTTGTCACATCGCCCTGAAATTTTTAGATGAGTACATGCATTTCGATGTAGGTATGCACACTTGTCGTTATCTGCTAGTTACCTCAAACTCGTAGAATATTACGACACTGTCGTCAGCTAATCGTTGTGCGCACGCATTGTTTGTTTTATAGGGAAAAATTAGTGAAAAAGTTTATATTTGCATTAAAATGACGTAAAAATACTCCCTTATTCCGTAATATCTGTGAAATTTATTATTAAGTGAATAATTGCAATAAAATCAAATAAAAACGAGAGTTTTATTTATCAAAAATTACCAAATTGTAAAAAGTAAAAACTCCGTTTAGCTTCGGAGTTCGAAATAGGACCTTTGGTAAAAAATTTTATTTAATTATTGCATCTAAATAACTAAAAACCTTAAAATATAGACGTAGTCTTCCTTTTGCTCTTATTTAAATGGTATATAACTTTTTTTGTGCAAACTAATATTACAGGTGTTATAAGGGTTCAGGTCTTCGAAAATTTAATTACGTTATATTTCAAACAGTTTGAACTGACTTTGAAAAAAACAAATTGATATCGTTGTAAAGATGATAATACTCCCTTTCTTTCAATATGCATATTCGTATACTTCGTATATACAAATATTAGAAAAAACACATTTAAATGAAAAATACTTTTTATAATAAAAATATTTTATAATATTAAAATATTAAGTCTTTAATTTTTTGAAGATCTGACTTTAAACCCGTTATAGCACCTGTAATATAAGTTTTCACAGAAAAAGTTATATACCATATACATTTTTTCATGCAATCGACTTCGAACGCCCATATCTCGATTTCGGAGGCTAACTTCGAAAAACGGAGAACTTACTTTTTATACTTATGACTCAATCTCTTAAAAAAAGTTGTTTGGTCCAATACCCAGCCGAGTGCGGTACAGTGTAATTAGTATCTGGAACTGGATATTTGGTATTTCATATTCGGTATCAGAAACTCATATTTGATAATTGGTGTTTGGTATTTGGTATTTGATTAACATGTAGATAATTGGTAACCAGTAGTTGGTATTTGTTATTTGGTACTTTCCTTTTTGTATTGGGTACTTGATATTTGTTATTTGGTATTTGAAATTTTGGTACTTGCTAACTGGTAATTGGTAACCAGTAGTTGGTACTTGATATTTGATACTTCGCCTTTGGTACCTTTTCTTAGTATTTTGTTGTTGGTGTTTAATAATCGGTACTTGGTATTTGTAACTTAATATTTCATCGAGTATTATTTACAATAATCTTTTAATAATTCCCTTTTTTTGTTTTTGGTTTTCCTACCAGACGCTCTAGCGGATCTCAACAAAGCAATTGAACTATGCATCAAGACACCGCGCACAAAATGCACTGCTCTGTGTCAGCGCGGTGTCCTTTACCGCAAGCAGAGCAATTTAGATGCGGCTCGCAAAGATTTCGAAGAGGCAGCACAGTTGGGCAGCAGTTTTGCCAAAACACAGGTACTCATCTACATATGTACATTAGACTGCATCACTCCCCGTACAAAAAAAAAATAAACAAATAAAAAATCGGTACTGTTTTTCCATTGGAATTATAAAACCAAAAAGTTAAAAAACAGCATCAAAAATCTCATTATTACGATCTCGTTCAAAATTGGGTTTTTTTTAATAATATTTTTATGTGAATAAATTTTTTAAGCTTAAAGCGGTTTTTCATTTGAGGGGACTTTTTTCAAAAAGTTCTTTAAGAACCTATTTTTATTCATAAAAAACTCAAATTTTTGGAGGTATTTTCAAATCGGTCCAGCTCGCTTAAATCTTAATATTTTTCCAAAATATTTTGTTGGACGTCTTAAGATATAATAAATTTTAGAATCCTGGCGGAAAAACCAGCAACTTTTTTTGGAGATGCAGTCTAATGTATCTACATACGTACATACATACATACATTCATATCTCATATAACTACAGTAGTACATAAATACATACAGATAATAAGATTCGCTTCACTCTTTCTAAAAATCCATTCCAGCTGGTTGAGATCAATCCGTTTGCGGCACTTTGCAATCAAATGTTACGCCAGGCATTCGATCAATTGAAGTAGAATTTATTGCCATACGGAATTTAGAATAACAATGCACACATACACCGCCTGAGAGTGGATGCAGAGGAGCGAAATGAAGACATTAACTATTTTAATTACGTAATACGAGTGTTTAAATAGAAGCGAATCAAAAGTCCTGCCTATGCAACAAAAAATCTTTTAAAAATCTTAACCTTCTTGAATGCGACAATAAAAAATAAAAATAAAACAAAATAAGAAATGTTGAAAAAGTCAAAAATGTCGTTGCTGTTACTAAAATAAGTTGCGGCAAATTGCGCTTACCTCCACCGTTTCTCCGCTGCCCTTACTACGGAACTCGGCCGCTGCTTTAAATCAGCTCCTTGGCTGACTAACTGACCGAGAGAACTGGCTGCCTAGTATTTTCTTTTTTTTTTGTTTTAGCTTACTGCTGCAGATTGTGGCAAGGTGCGTTTTAACAATTCCAACAACAACAACAATGGACAAAATCAGCACCGCAGCAACCGTGCCATCGACACTCAACAAGTCTCGACTATCGGCAGCCGGCTGCCAACGCGTCCCAGCAATTGGCACGTGGTATGCGCGCGAGCTGTCGAGCTGTGCCTCAGAGCTCCCCGATTGCAACTAGTCGCATGTAACTCTTGGCTATTATGGCAGCTGTTGTTGTTGTTGCTGTTGTTGTGCTTAAGTTGTTGCTGCCACAGTGATTATGATTAAAAGGCATTTACGAGCAGCGCGTTGTGGCAAATATATTGTGCATATGTATGTATGTCTGTTTGTACGTATATGTATATGGAGGCCTAGCTCATCGCATAAAAACAACTGTTACGGTTTTGCGGCTGCAACAACAAGAACAACAATAAAACATGCCTTAACAGTTATTAAATGCAACACATGCCACCACAACTGCAACAACAACAAAAGAAACAATCACTACACATATCAAGTATGTATGTATGTGCACATGTCCATACGTATGTATGTATGTAAATGCATAAGTGGCAAAGTAAAAAAACTTTAATTCCCAAAACCAGAGTAGAGAATTGGTGGTAAGGACAGAAAATATTTCCTGACATACAGACAAAATCATACATACAAATATATAAATGTACAATAAGGTGCATAGTGGTCCATAAGAATAACCCATAGCTCGATTTTGGAGGCTCAAAAAACGGAGAAATTGCATTTTTAATTATGACTCAATCTCTTTGCTTGGCCCCAGATCCCTATATTAAAAATAAAGCGGTGCAATTAACTGCGTTGTGCATGTGCCGAAATAATTAAAAATTATGTTTTTATCATTAAGGTAAAAATGCCCCTCGTGGAACGAGTACCAGTTTTAAAACATTATTATACATTTTTGTAGAAAAAAAGAATTGAGCCGCCCTGTGAACACAAGTGAGTGCGATTTTCCTGCAACTTCGTGAGCACTTAGAAAATTGCGCAATTATCGGCCGTATCTGCGTCCGCATAATTGCGCAATGATTGATCAATTTCGTTATTTTTCTGAAAAATTATATTTGTATCATATAATTATAACACACAGGTGAAAAATGCCTATCAGTTCTTCGAATTCACTGCATTTTCACAATTTTCAAATTATGCTCTTAATTTTCAATTTTTACTTATTTTGTTGTATTTTCGAATTTGTACTATTTTGCATAGTTGAAAGTCGCAGCTAGTTTGAATATTTTCGCAGGTTAAGAAAACAACAAAAATTCCAAAATATTGAATTTTATGAAATCATGAAATTTCTGGAGATGTCTTATTTTTAGGATAATTTCGAAAATTTTAAGAACTATCGAAATCTGGGAGATTCTAGAAATTTTGGTAAAATTATAATATTTACACAATTATTGAGATTTGAAATTTTTATATTTTCCAAAATTTTGAGAATTTTATTTATTCTGAAATCCATCCTAAAAAGTAAATATGTGAAACATCACAAATTGTCGAAAAGTTCTTGTGTTCATGGCACTTGTGCATAAAACCTAGAAAATTCTTAGAATTCTAAAATATATTAACATTTTTGAAAAATTCCAAACATTTCCACTTTTCTGAACATTTATTTTTTGCTTTGTCTACTTCAGTGCACACTATTTTAATATGTTATTGCAGATATATGTTGAAAAAATATTTGTAAACGCATTTTTTGCTAAAGAATTATTGCAAACATCAATTTTGAATAAATACGCTTCAGAATTGACTGACTTTTCTAAGATTTCGTATTTCTTCAAATCACCGTTATATGGGATTGTCCGATTTTTTTCAATTTTCAGCCGATTGGTATGTTTCACTAAAAGCAACAATTGTGCCAAGTTTGGGAGAAATCGGTGGAGCGGTTCCCAAGATATACATATAATCATAAGTGGGCGTGGCTACAAAAATCTATAATATTTTTATTTTTCGTCTAAAAAATCAATTTTTAGTGAATAAGCTTCAGTTGTTACTGAAATATCACAGTCTTTGTATTTCTGAAAACTACCGTTATATGGAGGTAGTTATTGACAGATTTTGCCCATTTTCAATACCCTTTGTCCTACAGTCAAAAGTAGTACACGTACCAAGTTTCGTTAAGATGTGAAGGGGTTAGAATCATAAGGGTCTAAGTGACATTTTTCGAAAATACATATAAGTTATACCCATATTTGTATAGTGAAATATAGTGTTTATTTGGTGACAAAGAGTAAACATTCTTTGAATTAGTTAATTAACTTGCATTCATTTAGGCAATAATCATTTCAAATGCATTTACCCAGAATTTACAATAAGTGATCAACTTTAACCTTAATTATCTCATAAAAAGATTGAAAACTGTGTGAAGGATGCACAGCTGCATGTAAATCATGAAAAAAGCAATATATAATGCATTTTTCAAATTGAGGGGTGACATTTTTTTCGTTTTTTAAACAGTGGAATTGTGTTTCTCGTCTCAAAATCTATAATATTAGTATAATAAAAATACAAAAAATGTTTTTTTTTTTAATATATTCGTTGGATTTTGCATGTTTTTTTTTCAAATAACACTATTTTTGACCATTTTTTTTAAGGTCAAGAAATGATTTGGCTCAATGGCAATATTTTTCCTTGAAAGGCAAATTACATTAGCTTTCAAATCCATTTTGTTTCATATCAAACCTTTGCTTCTACGCGCTACGATTAATTGGCATGAAGTGTTAAAAAAGCACACTGTGCGCCG